TCCAAACTTGTTTCAATCGGAAATGCAAAAGATCATCCACTGTCTGTTTAACGCTTTCCCAATTATGCCTAGCTAAATCGGGCATAGACATAGAAAACAAAGCATCTATTTCCTCCAGAGTCTTATCTTTAGTTTCAGGCATCATAAACATGGCATAGAACCACGCAATAGTAACAAATCCTCCATAAAAACCAATGAAAATTCCTGGGGCAGTCATAGCCGTTTTCATTTTCGTAAAGCAATAAGTTGTTATAAAATTGCCTATATAAGTCCACCAAGTCACAAGTGCCATTCCTTCACTTCGAATATAGGTTGGATATATTTCTGAACCCAATACCCATGCATAAGGTCCCATTCCAGAACCCCAAAACATATAATAAGTTATAATACCCCAAATATAGATGCCTTCTTCCATATGAAGATTGCTGGCTCTAAAACTAAAACCAATAATGAAACAACCAACCAATACTCCAGGTAAAAGACTTAACCATAAAACTCTTCTTCCCATTCTGTCCATAAAATAAATGGCAGGAATAGTAAACAGTAACAAAGTCCCACTACCTATCATACTGGAATAGACAGCATGAACACTACTAAAACCAACTTCATGCATCAAAGTAGCCATATAATAATTAATAGAGTTGATTCCAGAAAATTGACAAAGAATTGCAATAATAGTTCCAAATATAGCAGCATGACGACAACGGTGTACTCGAACAAGGTCCATTATAACCCATCGATTTTTAGATTCTTCCAATTCCCGTTCAACAGTTTTCCTCATAATAAAAAACTCATTTCTCTCTTCTTCCGTATCAAATCCTCTCACAATACTCCAAACCTTATAGGACTGTGCCTCTCTTCCTTTCCTCATCAACCAACGAGGTGTTTCAGGTAATGTAAGCATGGCAATAAGCAAAATGGATGAAAATACTAAAGTACTGCCGAGCATATATCTCCAATTGCCAGAGGCATGCACAAAGATGGCTGCTACAATATAGGCACAGAATAAACCAAAGCAAATCATAAATTGGTACAATGAAACTAAGCCTCCTCTCCATCTCTTCGTACAGCTTTCTGAGATATATACAGGGCAAGCAGTACATTCTAAACCTAATCCAACGCCCAAGATGATACGACCTGATAAAATCATACCAAAATTTTGAGCATCCGCTTGTAATATTCCTCCAACAGTATAAAACAAGCAGGCAATGATGATACTTAGCTTTCTTCCCAACCATTCATTGAGTGGATACCCTCTACATAACAATGAATGAGTAAATAGGCCATTTATGCAATTATACAAACTTACATTGTAGCACCGAGAACACCACCTAGAGGCATAAAGCCTGTGACCATAGATTCCTCTCCAGTTGTTAGACTAAGATCCTTTGGTACAAACAACAATGCACCACTAATAACACCTTGATCCATTCCAAAAATGAAACCTCCTATGGAAGCAAAAATACCAAGAATCCATGTCATATGTCGGCCTCCACCTTTGAACAAAGTATGAGTACGGAATGAGAATCCTGAAAGTTTGTCCGATTCTTCCTTGAGATGGTCAAGTTCCTTGGTAACTTCCGCCTCATCCAATGTGGCCTCCAACTGGTAACCATAGTAGTTGGTTTTTTCATCTCCAATAGCATCATCTGTTTCACCAGTATAATGAGGTACTATATCTCTTTCAACTTCAACGGGAACTGCAATAGGACTCATAATCTACTAACAACAAGATGAATATTTCACAAAGAAAAATGAAAGATACCACCAGCCATTTGTGATCCGTTGCTAATATTGAAGAGGATTGATCTCCAGAAAATCCTTTCCAATGGACAATCATCAAGATACTGAGCCTTCAAGGTCTACCATAAATGTCTATGAGACACACATGTGAAACTTCACTCCTTGGAGGGCGAGAGATATAAAGGAACACAAATGGAACTACAGGTCGAGAATTTGATTCTAGTCCAATAGACTTGAGTCTTAAATCCAGTCATTCTTGGTGGAGAGAAGAGAGGATAGTTGTGTTTTCTCGGCTGTTTGTCAAGCACTTGTTATGCAACAAAGACTGGTTTGAAATGTCTGTTATGGAATTTTTGTCTTGGTTGGACCCAGTAGAGTGGAGCAAACATTATGAAATTCCATTATCCATAACTTGCTTTCTCATATATTTCATCGTGTTTCACATAGCGTGAGTATCATCTTTTGTCGTTGGAACATTCGTTAACTAGGCAATAGTTGTGCGTTCTTTGGCATTGCTGATCATTGGAAACTACTGCGAAAATACAAACTGCATGAAAGTGACGAGAAAACCTATCTTCAGGTATTGGTTGGAACTTTAGTATGGATTCGGTTTCTGAATTCTTCAAGTTATTGCCAAGAGTGGTTTTCAATCAACTTGCCTTTTATTTGACTAGTTGTTATATTGGAGAAAAGATGGGTTGGGTTTTCAGACCTCCAAAAGTGAGTTTCATACTTGCAGCACTGTCTTTTTCTTGCAAACTCAATTGATATTTAGGACAACCATTTTCAGCTTTGGAAGTTACCGATATATCTTACTTTGTTTTCTTTCTATCATGAAATTATATTTTACAGTGCCCATAGATGGTTGTTGCATTCGAAGTGGGGTTTCAATCTTTTAGGACACAACGTCCATCATAGGTAATAACAACGAATACTAATGTTGAATTCATCAAGCAACCATGATTAGTACCAAAGGTTCAGTTGGTATCTCACAACATTATATGAGTGTCATCGACTACTATTTGGAAATCGTTGTTTCCATTTTGGTACTGTTTGGTTGAAAACTTTTCATACAAAGATTCATTTCTCTACGTAATGTTCAGGTTCCATTGGTACTTATTCGCACCAATGCATATTTCGACCTTTTAGTAATGGTGGAGGACGCTATTTTGGGTTCTTATGACCATAGTGGATATGACTTTTTCCTGGGAAATTTGAAAAGATATTCACCTGTAAGTAGCGGTTATTGTTTTGTTTTAGAGATGATTTAGTCCTTTGTTTCTAGGCTTATCATTCCATGCATCATCTTCGTTCTAGTTGCAGTTATGGAGATGGTGTTGGCTCCTTGGCGTTATTAGATAATCTTTTTAAGACTAGCTACTTTCATTTTGGATACAAGTATGAAAATTAACCTTTGAAAGTTTGTTCCAAATAATGTTGATGGAATTTGTCTAGGTCTTTCCCCAAGGTAAAGAATCTTGTCAAGGAAGAGAAAGAAGAAACAGAGTAGTAGAGTTTTGTTTGTTTTCTCACATGTTTTTGCTTGTACTATTTCATCATAGAGTTTTTAGAATAAATCGTGGAATTATTCAATATTTGGCATTTTATTCGTATTGATTCGATGTCATTGGACAAGTGGTTTTCTATGACATGCTGAATGCTTGTTCATATGCTTACGAGAAGCGATTGCTATCTACTCTTGTTTATCCAAACCTAGGCACTCCTTCATAATAGATGATAGATATGTAAAAGAGAGAGACTCATTCCAAAGGAATCACGAATGTCCATCTGTCATTCTGGAGGACAAGCATCGAGTTCATCTTCTTCCTACTGACCACTACTTGTACAACTTTGACCGTTATAAAGGATGCTTTCTCCAGGTATTCGAAATGTTCTACTATCAGGTGTTATTGGTTTGATTCTCTACAACTCTGACCCAAACAATAGCTGGGTGGTGTTATTTTCTCAAGCAACTGTTCTTGGACACCTCTTCTTAGGTCTCTTTTTAAACTTTTACATTCGTCGCCTTATAAAGCAAAACGAAGATAATGAAACTATCAGAGTACCTCGTTCTTCTTATAGTTGGAAACGAGTTGCACCAGAAAAGGACGAGTGGTTGAATATGACTATTCGAGAATATGACTTGGAGGAGCTAAAAAGAAGCCAACATCGTTTCGTTCTCAACGCAGCGTTCCTAGGCTTTGCTGCTTTTCGTTTAGCTGCTACTCGTGCCGCTATTTTACAAGGATTGCTTTGGATTGTTCAAATACTAGAATCACCTTTGGTAAGTTGTGTTTACCTGTTGAGAATCAGTTGACTTGGGTAGGTACAAATTTATATCTTCGAGAAGCCTGCGACAGGTTTATTAGCAAGGCCTTTTCAGAAAACTATAGGGTTATTGGACTATTTATCAAGAGCAATTCGTCAAGACTCTAGTCAGACTAGGACGACTAGCGAAAATAAAAAAGACAATTGAACGTTTTTTTGCTAGAAGTTTTTCCTTTTCTATGTTGAGAAAAAATGTGTAGTTCTAAGAATAACCATAAAGATGAACTTGACAGTAGCAACAGTTGATAACAATGACGATCTATTCTTTCTTATCATAGTTATCTGCTATTGTTTGATTCCATAGAACAAAAGAGGGATTTGGACCACGTCATCGAATGGGGGGAATCATCGTGTCCTTTGGCGCCTTGATGTTTTTATGGTGTTGTCTTCAAAAGAAACTTTTAGATTTACTTCATACTGTGTTTCTATAAAGCATGAATGAATCGTGTTGTATTATGGAAAATAACCAAAGTAATAACAAACAAAAACTGGAAAACAAGTTGGGCAGACAATCCAAAAGAGTCATATCACTCTACCAAATAGACCAAGGATTGAAAAGAGCAGAAAACTATAGATTGCAACAGTATTTGAATCAAAGGTATTGTCAATATCTAGAAAGCCTGTAATATCTATTTAAAAATATCTTCAGTGAGAGGTTAAGGAGACAAGTACAGAAAGTACGAGATGCTGCTGAAAGTAGGAAGGAAGAAATGAAACAAGCAAAATTAAAAAAGCAAGAAATGTTAAACACAACTCTTTCAGAGGCTCAACTTCGGAGAAACCAGTATTTGGAGGTAAGGATAAGAACGATATTCTCATTGCACATAGTCAACAAACTTTAGACAGCAAGGCAGAATGCAAGAGAACACTTTAAGAAAGTAAGAATAGTAGCAAACACAAATCATGTTTCCAAAAGAATGCTTTTATGGAAACAAAATGCACAATTCCAAACTCAATTATGGAATGCTGAATGGAGGCGATCTCGTGCATTGGCTTTAAAAGTACGCAATGCTTGTTTGTCACCTGGTGCCAAATATTATGATTCTCAAAACGAAAACTTCAAAAATGAGACAAACAGCTATAATATCGAAGAAAAGAACGAGGCGGCAGCTTTGATACAGTTTTTTTGGAGACTAAGCTTTATCGAGAGAGTCTTTTCTAAACTTCATCTTTCCTGGGAGTGTTGTGTAGAAGAAGGTTTTGATGCCACCAAAAATAAAATTCTAGACGAAGAAGCACAAAAAGCTGCAGCTAGTGTCGTTCATTTGTTCTATCCGAGATCTCGTGCTATGATGGGAAGCGAATTGAGGAGACTGTCAAGGCTCTTTCTGACAAGCTTTGTTATTGCTGCACATCCACAGCATGTTTTGGAACATCCGGTAAGTTGTTAGCGACTTGGATATTCTATTAAAGCCTTATGTTGTTCTAAAGGACAGAGGTTTAGAACAAGCTGTCGTCGATGCAGCACGTCGTTTGTTGGGGTATTTAATGGACCCTCAACTGAGCGCTGTAACGTCTGCTGTCAAAGCTCGAAGCATTTGGACGAGATATAGAGTACTTTATGAAGAATGGGAACGCTCGGATAGAGAGAGACTCATAGATGGAATCATGAAGGACTATATTGAATTGGAAACTATGAAGCTCAAGGTAGATAACAACGTGAGTACCAAACAAGCCTTCAATCGGCAACGTAGATTGAGTCCAAATGTTGCTCCTTGGAACGGAAAGGAACCTCAGACTATCGGGGCCATCTGGTTACCTCAGATAAGGAAACGTCAGTCCAGATTGAGAGCTGCACTTTTCCGAGTTGGTGGTCATGATGCCTTGAATCATCTTCAAAGCAACATACAAGACATTCGTGAAAGTTTTGAAGTTAGGACAATTGTTGATGAACCCACGCAAAAGGTTGTTCATGAGGATCACTTGAGTATAGTCTCGAAAGATGAATATGAATATGCACAACATGGCATGAATGAAATTTTTGCTCACGAAATTATGATCAATGTGGAAGAATTTATAAAGGAATTGGAATCTTCTGAGCAGTATAATGCAATTTTGACTTTGGCAAGAAGAGCTTTTCGAGAGAAGCTATACCAAGCTTTCTGTGGTAACGATCAAGGCGAAGATTCAGCAAATGAACAGTTATTGAGGCTGATAGAAGAAGTGCGTGATAAACTTTTTGCAATATTACCGCCAAATATTTGTGCTGCAACTGATGATTATAGACAAAGGCTTGAAGGTCATTTAGATATGAAGATTCTTCGAAACCAAATAGATCATTATGCTTTTAAGGCCGATGATGCTGTATATTTATTGAGACTTTTTACTGAAACGCTTCGCAGTATTGAGGCTGTTGAAAGAGATGAAGAGCTTCAGTCTTGGGAAGACTCATGGTTTTCTGAAATTGCAAACTTTGATTGTAGTTTACAAGTGCACAAAAGGAAGCTTTTGTCTATTGTTGCCAACAGACTTTGTGATATTTTGGATCGTTTGGATATTATTGAAAAGGATATCGTCATATCCAAGATTCGCATTTTGGAGCCTATTTTGAGATGTCATGGTCCTCAATGGGAAGACAATCGTTTTCAGCAGAAAGTTTTCAGAGGCATTTTTGAAAAGGACTTGCCACAAACTAGTTTATGGCTCACCAAGGCAATGAAAAAATTGAAACAAGTGTACACAACCTTTGACTGTATGCGTCTTGTTCAAGGTGAAGGAGACTGGACGAAACGATTTCTTCGTGCATCGTTCATTTATCTTATTGATGAAAAGGAAGAACAATTTATTGTTCCTGAAGTGTTGAAACTAGATGAAAGGAGATTGCAAAAGTTGAGAGAAAATTTATCTAAGAATATATACATCACTTGTCTCGATTTAATTGTTCGTCGGTTTGTAAAGCAAAAGAATATGGAATGGGACTGTGAGATAGAAGAAAGCTGGAGAGACTTGGTTGTCTATTGGAAGGATAGAAAATGGGTTATTCTTCAATCAGATTTGGACAAAGAGTTGATATTCTTTATGGAGAAAATCTTGGCTCGTCATTCCACGGTGATTTTTTCACAACAAGACAAGACCTTTTTATCTTCTTTATGGAAAAGAGTAATATATGATAGTGAACCCATCTCTTCACTATTGAGACGGAGAATCAGTGACTTTTTGTATCGCAATTTTCTTTTCCATGTTTCTTCTTTCACATATCCTCGCAAGCAATTGCAATCTTTAGGCTTTGGATATGTCGTCGATGATATGATAGATATATTGGAAGTGTTGAAAAGGACAACTGATTTGATGTTGGCCGTTCATTTTCATCGTTTGAAACCCGTTGTTTTGAGAATTGCAAAAGTAGTTGTAAATGAAAGTAAGTGATCAATGTTATATGCATCCATTTTGCCTTTTTGCAAACTCACTATTTTTTATATCTATCACTGAAAACCACATTGTGCAAATGTTGTATCATTGAAAGCCAATACCTTTTTCAACAAACTGTAACAATTCGAAGGAGATGGCAGTGTTCCCGTAAAGGATGGGTCGAGGCACGTGACAAAAGTCTCATACTCTGCACTACACACCTTCAAGTCATCAAAGTTTTGTCCAGCACAAGCTATCAATGCACCCAAGTCACCGAGACAGCTTTCCACATTGCTTATTCCATCGATAATAGGAGTAGTAATATTGGTTACGCATTGGGTCAGATGACATACATCCACACTACAAGGGTCTGTAAACTGACAAGCTTTGGATATATAACAATCATAAGAATGTACGATACTTGAAGGACATTGCTCTGGAAAGGCCTCAATAGTGTCATTGAAAAGACACTGAATGGTGGAACCCAACAAATTGACGCAAGTTATTGGATTGGATGTGATATCTGAAAAGCAGGATAAAGCACTTGTCAACAAACCTAACATAATTCCAGTCACAAAGAAAGGAAGATGGTAACAAACTCTCAATGACTTACTCATACAGGATTGCAGATTGGGTCCGAATTGAATGGGCTGTCCTCCACTTATTTCTTGTATCACGTCTTTTACATCCTTTTGAATATCGTGAAAGCAACTCCAGCTTTGTTCCACCTCCAGAGCACAAGAAGACGAAGGAGCTGTTGTCACTGCACTAGTAGCAGCTTGTCTATGGACTGCTGATACATAGAAAGTTGAACAGAAAAGGATAGAAAGGGTAAGCCATATCCTCCAACCCAGGCAATCAAATGCAGCCATAACTTTTCTTTTCAGGGTCCAAATGAATTTCCCACGCTTCTCAAAATGGCTTTTTCTAGAGAAAATGGAATTTTATCCACATGAAATTTCTTGGCTGTGTGGAAATGAAGTCTTCCTCATCATAGGTACTGTCTATGGGACAAGAGAGACGAATGAATGGCCCAACTCTATATATATATATATATCGACTCTTTTATAGAATGAAAACAACTTTGAGATTCTACTATCTTTCCTTCTCCACAAGTACACACAAACGAATATCATCGTTACCCATCCATTTCATTCTTTTTCTATTGGGGGGTAAAGAAGAAGAGAATGGTGATCATTCAAGAACAACTGTGCAAGCAAGTTGTGAAGCCTAGGATCGGTTGCCAAGCCTGCTTTATATTGACTTGGCACTTCAGTTGTCGTGTTCAACGTCATGACTTGTTTAGTCATAGAAACAGATGGAAACCTGTTCAGGTACCCAGTGTGTATCGAACCAAACGTCGTATGGAGTGTCGTTCAATAGAAAACTTGAAAGAAAGTTCAGCTTCAAATAGTTTACCTACTCAAAATGGGACTGTTCGTACAGTTGCAGAAACTATTTCCGACTTTTTGAAACACTTCCGCCACCCTATCCCTTCCATCTATCGTACCATCGTACAAGAACTATTGGTCACTACCCACCTCGCTAGAGTTGCTGTGGGATTCCAGTACGATCCAGTATTTGCTTTAGGGTACCAAATGGTTACCCAAGTGTTTTTCAAGAGTTATCCTAAAGTGGAGGAAAAGGAAAAACTTTTTGATAGTATGTGCAAGGCGTTGTTACTGGACTATGAACGGATGAAAAAGGTAAGATTGATCCTTCAGTTGTATTGGATGGTAACTTTGAAAGTGGAATAGGATGCAAGTGTGTTGGAAGAGTGGACTCGGTCACGAACTGAACGAGAGATATTACTAGCCATAGAAGAAGGTGGAGACGATCCTCTGGCCAATCTATTGCATTCTATAGCGCAGAATGATGGATTTGTTTACAGTCGTCTGTTTGGATTAGGATTGGTTCGTATGATGGAGTTGTGTGGAGAAGAAGCCAACTCGGAAAGGTGCCAAAAATGGGCTTCTGCTCTACATATAAGCAGTTTGAAGTTGGAGCAAGATTTGGATACTTATCAACAATCACTGGAAAGATTGAAGCAAGCAGAACAACTATTTGCTGAACTGGAAGCACGACAGAAGAAGAAATTGGCAGAAAAATTGGCAGAGAAAGCAAAACGTGCGCAAGAAGAAGCGATGAAAGCTGAACAACAGATGACTGAACCCAATTCTTCAGTTTAGAGGGTTTATGGGGTAATCGCCTTTCTTTCTCATCGAGAGAAAAAACTGGATATATTTTATGGGATATTTTACAAAATAAAGTCACTTTATGGAATCTTTTCCAAGCAATTCTTCTTCGATGTTTTCCAATTTCCTTAAACCACCTAAGTAACTATTCATAAGGTAACACTACTTACCAATGATAATCCATTCCTTTCCATTGTTCTTTTTCTTGTTTCATCAGCATTTTGGTTTGCATTTCTGGTATCTCCTCAGGAAGAGATCCAAACTGCATATCTTCAACTTCCCTTGTTCCATCCAACAGAAATAAAAAGCCTTGCAAACCAAAAATGTTGAGAATATACCATGAGAGACCACTCACATAACGTATATCTAACGATTCTCCCATCATCTATATTTCATTTGATAAGAATAACCACCAACATATCATTCGTACTTACTTCAATACCCGACTGTAACATGGAACGAAATCGTTCTGGTACCCAAAATGGTAACCTACAAACCACATAACCATGAAACATCGTTCTAATCCAAGCTCCCAACGCTATCCAAAGGATTTCAAAAAACAACAGGGTTCAAGGGCAATATCTATCTTACCCATTTGAGGTCCTACGTTGGCTATATTTTCAAGTACTTTGGTACGGAGTAGATGAGGCTTCATCAAGGAAGTCAACTTATCAATGGATGGAACATCGTTGTTCAAATGTTCTTTATCTTGTTGTAATAATCCTCGAGTTTCGTCTATGAAGAGTTTTTTGCGGCATAAGAATTGGTCATTAGGAAGGAAAGCAGCGTTGGTTCTTGTCAAAACACTTCTCTTTAAGATAGCCGCCATTCTTATCTACTCCGTATAAATAGTTTATGCTACAAACAGGTGATGATATCAACGACAAATACCGAAGAAAGACAAGGTGTCGGATGAGTTTTGAACAAAGAAAGTAGTGGAGCTCTCATCGCTACGGTAATAAACGCAGTCAAAGTTATCGATAGGAAAACCCCCACGAGTATTTGTCCACTTAAAACCAACTCTTCCATATTTTAATCGAAATACGAGCAAGAAATGGTTTTCTTTCTCCAAACTTAACCCACCAAGAAAGAAATGCTCATTCTTCTTCATTCAAGACTAGTAATGATGAACAATAAGTTTCTTGCATGAATAGCATCTTTAATGAGACAACAATAGAACACAGTCATCCATAGATAGATGATTACACTTTATACTTATTTCGGCCTACATATGGATGATGTTGTGTGAATGAATGAAGAAACAAAGGAGAGAGTCGTCAGTATCTTCTTCTTATAAGACAAAACTGTCAAAGTCATCCTATTGGAATGCCTCCTTTCAAGTACCTGCACATCCACTGGGTATAAAGCCTTTAGGTAACTTGTGGACTACAAGTAGCTATTCCGTTGACTCAATAGGAAGAGAAAAGAGCCTTGGCTTCTTTTCTATACTTAGCGATGAATGGCTATTGGACTTGCTTTATTATTTAGATGGCTGTTCAGCTGCTATGCTAAGCTGCTGTAGTAAATATCTCTATGCCTTTTGTTCCTATAACGAACTTTGGAGAGAACGGACTTTACGAGATTTCACCCACTACAACTTCGAAAGCAGTTGGAAAAATACGTATAAAAAAGCTGTTGTGCGTGAGAAAGAGCAATATGTTGATGATCACTCTTGTTGTCCTCTCATTCGCTGTGACAAAGTATATTCAGACGTATTGTATCGTACTTGGTGCACCGTCTATTTTCATTTTCCTAGTTATGCCAGTTGGTGGAAAAGAGATAATATACCGAGGTTGCATACCAAAGATTTGGATGTGGATACATTTATACAGCAATTTGAAAAGCAAAATATGCCACTCGTTATTCAAGGTGTTGTAACGCAGTGGCCAGCGTATCACAAATGGAATCGCAGTTATTTCATACAACATTGTAATGACTTTGCATGGACGGTGGGACCTACTCAAATGACTATGCAAGAATATATCCATTACATGGAAACCAATGTGGATATCAATCCTCTCTATCTTTTTGAAAAACGCTTTCAACAATTGCCTCTAGCATTGGACTATCAAGTACCCAAGTATTTCAAAAACAGAGATTGGTTTTCTCTAGTAGAGAAATATTATAACAAGAGACCTGACCATTCTTGGCTTATCTATGGTCCACCACGTTCCGGTTCTCGATTTCATATCGACCCCAATCAAACTTGTGCTTGGAATGCAGTTATCAAAGGAAGTAAGAAATGGGTTCTTTTTCCACCTCCTTCTCAGGCACCATCACCTCCAGGAGTATTTCCCAATGAAGATTATTCAGAGGTTACCTCTCCAGCATCATTAATAGAATGGTTTACCAACTTTTATGAAGAAGCCAAAAAGAGAAAGGATATCATAGAATGTGTGGTAAAATCGGGAGAATTGCTCTTTATTCCACGTGGTTGGTGGCATATCGTATTGAATTTAGAAGAGTCTATTGCTATTACCGAAAATTATGTTTCTGAATCCAATATTTCTCATGTTTTGGAATTCTTACAATCAAAACCTCATCAAATTTCTGGATGGGATGATGACCAGGATTTACAAAGTTTACTTATCGATGTCATTCAAAGAGAACGTCTCAATCTTCCCACTCAAGACAAAAGAAAATTATCAACTGGAGAGAGTATGCTCCAAACAACGACAAATCTTCAAACTCCAAATGGAATGAATAAGAGTAGGAATACAACGCAGTTTCGTTTCAACTTTGCTTCTTCTCCATCAAAAAAGAAAAGGCATATATAGTATTCACTAAAACATCCATAATGAGCTTTTGGGTCTCAAGTTTTGTATCTTTTGACTGGGCCCTACAGCTTGTTCCATTCGACGAAACCAAGACATGATGCTAGTATGACTTTTGATATCTGTCATAACATCAAAAGGTTGCAAAGTTTTCACAAATGCAAATAGACACAAATCAGCTAAACAAGGACGTTCTCCCAGAAGGAATGAATGATCACCCACATCTTCCATCCATTGATTGAGTTCATCCAACAACTCTCGACGTTCATCTTGAATATCCAAAGACCATTTGCTCTTCTTTCCCATCACATAGAGAAAGAATGGACCCAGCAAATTCACCGATAACCGTTCGTACCAAGAATATCGGTCTACTGATAATAAATACTTCATGCTTTGATAAGACTCACTTAAAGTATGTGCGATATTCGGAGTTATCAATGGAATCAAACGATCATCTACCTTATACAGCCACTTTCTTTCTACTGCAGGTATATTACGCTGATCTTCTCTCAAAGAATCATCTACAAAGTCTTGTATCTTCCACAACGCAGCAAAAGAGTTGTGATATTCTACACCGTCAATCACAAGCACAGGTACTTTTTTGGAACTCGTTGTTCGCAACTCTCTTTTCCCCACTGCAGTAACTTGTACGCAAGAATACGGTATTCGATAATAGTCAAGAGCAACGCGAATCTTCTTACAATAAGGACATGACTAGAAAAGTAAAAGGAAAGCCATCAACCAAACACAACTCCTACTTACTTCCATTTCAAATAAAACAAGGGTTGGAAACGATTTGCGAGGAGAACCTGTTGGCGCCAAAACATTACGGGTATCGTTCAACTCATCAGCAGTCTTTGTGGGTTTGGCTTCGTCGGAGAAAACATCCCAGATGGGTCCAGTTTCTGATTCAATCATTTGCTTATTTTCTTCTGCGAATACTACTTTACTCAACCATAAGGAAGATAAAGTACTTGCTCCAGCAAACAAGGTCCACCTATATTTTGAAAATCTACTAAAGGAAGGAGCTGATTTGGTAAAGTTGTGGTTCCTCCTAAACAACTTTGCTGGAATATGGTATTTGTTGTTCCACTTTGAAACCAACTTGCCAATCATAGTTGTAGTAAGTTGGTGGACGACGTTGGTTATTCTAAACTGCATTTGTGTTCTCACTCTTTGAACAAAATGACTTGAATTCTTTCCATTTACTTATATCAACAAAACAACATCATTCGAAAACAAAAAAGACTTTAAGAACGACGAATGCACATATCGTTCAATAAGAGGCAGGCTTCCTAGCAACAAAGAAATACATCGGAGTATAAATACCTAATTTACCTCCTTCTACAAGGTCACGTGCTGCATTCATCAACAACTTACTCACTTGAGCTGAACCTTTAGGAATAACACCAAGTTTCTCTAAAAACTGAACTGATAAATGAGTCACGTAATGTCCCAATCTAGTGTGACGAAAACCTTGCAAGGAAAATGTTGCGCTAAGAGGAGAGTACCAAGGTATATCAAGGAACTCTGCCAAATCGTATGCATCAACTAGTTCAAAACCAGCATCTTTCAGACCTTCCAATACCTCTTCTGTGGTAGCAGTATCTGGTAAACCGTTGCCTTCTTCAATATTGAATTTTACCTGACGATGTTTTTCATTGTTAGGATCATACTTGTGAGTCACACACCATTCATAACCAGCAAAGAAACAACCTGGTTTCAATACTCTGTATGCTTCTGAATAGACAGTGGATTTGAACATGGTATGACACGTAGACTCTATAGCATAAACACCATCAAAACTGCAGTCATCAAAAGGAAGCTTCAAAAAGTCCCCGTAGACAATATTACACTGCTCTTGCAGGTTATTTTCTTCTATAATTTGATTTCCCCTTGTGACTTGGTATTCACTTATGGTTACTCCAGTTACTTTACAGCGAGCAAACCTGGCAATGTTACGCAGAGGGCCTCCAATACCACAACCCAAGTCAAGCAAGTGGGAACCAGCTACCGACATAAATTAGTTGCCTCTAAGAACAGGAGAATAGCAGGTTCTTACGGTGAACTTTCATCCTTAATGGAAGCACATACTCATAACGTTGGAGGCCACAAGCAAAAGGTTCATCCTTTTGTAAATAAGCAAAGTGAAAACTCTGTGCCCAACCATATTCATAAAAATCCGAAACTAGGTTATAAAAACTAGATATCATTTGTTTTCCTTTATCTGACTGTCTGCGCTCTCTGTCTTCTACAGACTCACATCCGTGTTGATAGAAAGTACTATATTCTTCAATGTATGGAGTTGCGTCAATTTGTCCGTTCTGCTTAGAGTGTTTTAAAACTTCAGGAATTGTACTTGTCATGAGTGAGGCCATTGTGAAGCTGCTGACACAACACAGAATGCTTTTTCCCTCCAAAACTTGCCGTCCAAGGTTATTCCTGTTTTTGGCGCGATTTGAAAGCGTGTGTCATTCACGTGAAAATGCGCGCCTCATTTCTGAAACCTTGTCGATGGGACACTTGATTTGCTTACTCTTGTTCGATGTTTTCTTCCACAAGTTGTCGAAATATTTCAAGTACGGATATAGAGTCTGAGGAAGCGCTAGAAGCAGCAAGAGAGTGTTTGAGTTCTTTTTCTCTGCAGGTACTATTGGCTTTAAAGTTTCACAAGTCTCCTGAGGAAATTCAAAGAGAACTATGGAACACCATGGCTCTCTATCTCTTTATGACACGAACCCCCGACACAAATTATGAGGAACAAGAAGACGAAATAAGGAGACCCTTTACAAGTTACCATTTGACAGATTCTCTTTCGGGTGTGGAAGGTGGAAGTATTTACTCCGAAACAAGTCAGTATAGGTCAACTACGGAAGGACAGTCTGACGAAGATAGAGCCAATGCCGCGTCTCACTTGTTCAACGTTTTGAAGAGTCTCCAGTTTCGAAAATTTCCCAGCGAAAGAGTTGTAGCAAAGGTTCGCAAAATTTCAGATTAGTTATATAGGGTATGGATAATATATATATATATATATATTGCAAGTAAATTCCCAAAGCTTGATTACCAAAGGACTTTATCAATCAATCTCAAGTACTATTGCTTATTTGTGGCACGTGGTTCCCATTGTTCTGGAATTTGTTCCAGAGAGAGAGAGAGAAAGAGAGAGAGAATCATCACCACACTGCAGAACAACCTTTTGCAGTGTAACAGAATGTGGAACAAGAAAAACGAAGAGAAGGAAGACTTTGGCATTATCGTTATTCTTTGGAAACAAGTAACAGTGAAAGAAGACGGAAAAGTTCCTTTGGAACCCTTTTTAACAGCTGCGAAGGAAGTTTTGCGCGTCGTGGATGCGTTTGGTTCAGGTTTCCGCATAGTGAAGAATGATATTGCTGGAAATATTAAAAAACTTTATCGTGCCAATCAAACCGTTCATGCAGAAACTTTACAAGAACTCATCATTGCCGAAAACTCTCCCGATGGATTGGCTACCGTCGCTTTGTTATGGTTGAAGAGGTAAATACTTGTATTCGTAAACATTTGTAGACTTTCTCACCCAAGTATACCAGAGCCTTTCAATTTATTGCTAGCTTTCTTCGAAGACTCGTTGTAACTGATAAAAGTTTGGAACAATGTGTAACTGAAGCTTACAACTGTACCCTTCGACCTTGTCATAGTGCTGTTATACAAAAAGTATTTTGGGGAGGAGTCAAATTGGCGCCAAGTAGAGAAAGGTAGTAAAAGACTTGAGAAGGTTTCCATAAGTAGTGACTTGTTGATAGGTTTTATAGGAAATTGCATCCTGACCTAAACATTGCCAAGGCAAAGATCGAAGAGTTTTTAATAGAGTTACATGACCCTTTGTGCTGTATTGTTCAGTTTTTCTTTCAACGTGAACTTGAAGATCAGTGTTGGGGAGATGAAGTTTATCAAAGGAAGGATTCGAGTGAATGGTTGAAGGTTTCTTGTGAACAGGACAGTGTTTGAACAAAGCTCGTTTCTTTTCTATGATACTAAAGACATTCGGTGTAGATAATAATAACATGTTGCATAGGCTACGTTCCATAATGTACTTCTTAATCATATCCACTTGTGTAAGTAAGTAAACAAATCGTTTATCGAAACGCTACAATTGAAACAGAAATTCAACAAAAGTAAACAATCTCAAACACAGTCAATTCTGTAAGTGCTAGTCCTACATACAATAAGACAAACTGACGCTAGCAGTCCAACCATCATCACAAAGTGATTAGCTTTTCTTTTCGTTTTCTTTTGAACAGTCCCACACATTCTTCACATGTGCTGCTGGATAAGTTTCAGAAGAAGAAAAGAAACTATTATAAAGAGAATTGCCAGGTTGTGAATTACCTGGTAAGGAACTCGAAGAAAACGTCTTTGAGAATACTAACTCTGGGCCCAAATCATCTCCAAAGGAAATTCCAGGCACCTCATAACTAGTCCACTTAGTACAATTGGAAGTCTTTTTAGAAGGACTCTCCATACGACTTAGAAACTCATTCAACTTCAAACTGGGCTCCGAGTCAAGCATAGCATTACCATTTGTACCATTGGAAGTCAGTTTGTCTGCAAATGACCATTTGGAATGATTGTTGTTATCCGTTAGTAGGCCACTTGCACCTAAATTGCTCATATCTTCAAAATCTTTCGAATTGGACAACTCTCCATCATTGACGAAATCTTCCTTTGAAGTAAAAACTGCAGAGTTACGTGGAATGTTAGACTTGTTGATACCACTATCACCTTGTTCTCCTATGCCTCTATCTTGATTGCGCAAAGGATTGTTCACGTTGATACGACTCGTGTTGGAAGGAAGTAAATTATTTCCGGAATAGTGACTGTCTGACTTGTTCAAGGAATCATGAGGTAAGTCTGAATAACTATATAAGGGTTCTGTTGGACTCAAAGAATCATTTCCATTCGTTCCACGGAAAGTCCCATTGAGAATTGCCAGATCTCTCAGCTGTTGCCTTTTTAAAGAATCTTTTTCCTCTGGAACGGGTACTAATAACAACTCTATGGACTCCTTGGCTCTGTTTAAAGCTACTAGCGCTGAGGCTTCATCCATTTCTGCCTCAACAACAACGTGAAGTGGTTCATTAAACACGTGTTCCCAACCAGGTTTGCCTCTAACTTCATTCTCTTTATCTTTACGAATGGAACCTTTGCCTCGTATCATGATCTTGCAGCCTGTTTCTCTTTCTAAAGCCTTCAGAGTGGCCCCTCGAGGACCAAGCAAACGTCCCACAAAGTTATAGTCGGGATATTTATGCGCAGGGATAGGAAGCTTTATACGCTTCTTAACAGGAACTGAGTTATAAGTATACTTGTTCGTCTGATTTTGTGTTTGGTTGACGTTTCCAAAATACACATCTTGAATGCTGCTGCTGGAGTCTCGCAATAGCGTTTCTATTTCGCTAATTTCTATCATGGCTTTACAAAATAACTTTCAAGTTTGTTTATCTTACATACCTCTTTCCAAAAGCCAGTACGTCTGTGGCACAGCGCTTTTCAGCGTCTCTAAAGTGTTTCGTTCTCTTATGAGATCTCCTAAACGTCTATTTCTTGGTACTCAGTATTTGGATGACATAATAAAACCGAACATAACTCACTTCTGTAGTTCGAGACTATTCATCTTACAAAAAGAAGCCACTGACTTCTTTCCACGCTGAAAATATCTGCACAAGTTTCAACAAGTCACTATCCCACGGCCACACAAGCACCAAATGGATGATGACTGCTGGAGTTGGGGTTAATATGGTCTGTTGGACGAGGGCTTTTCTTAGAGTTGTGTAAATGAGGGGCGTTTTAGGACTGCTCTGGCTTCTTTATGTTATTGTTGTAAAATTCTTTTTATAAAAGATAAAATAACGAAATGAAAAAACAAGTTATTCGCAATATATGAAGTTGCAATAGTTATGTTGTTAGCACCATTTGTCCAATATCCCATTCTGAACAATGACTGACAGGATCCTTGCTACAGACACTATGCTTTCGGTTCTTAAGACAAGACTCCAAAATTTGGCTACCTAGTTCTTGATACTTGTGAGGAGATGCAGTCTTATCCACCCAAAGAATGATGTTGGGTTTCTCTATAATAGTATTGGTTAAACGAAGAGAGAGTTTCCTATCCGTCTCGAAACATTCTGCACTTGTCATTAGTAACCATATACTTTGAAATGTCTTGTGATGAAGTTGGTAACAACGATACATTATCTTTTGCATTTCTAAGCTTTCGGAAAAGGATTTCTTGTTTTTCGGAGATACGCACGTCACTACGACATCCGGTAATATGACATCTGGGGTTCCACTATCTCTCAATATCCTCAGCCATTCCCAAAAAGGAAAACAATTGATTCGAATAAAGTGATTCTCAATGGTGCAATTGGGAAGATATTTTGCATTCCATTTCTCCACACCATCAAGGACATGGAGAGCTTCGATAAAATCGGCAGATTCCTTGTGCATTTTTGAAGTTTGGATTTTCTTCTCTAAAAGGTCTGCTAGACTTGCTGACAACATTGGCAATACATATTTTCCTTGTAAACGATGTGCAACATGTCGAAAGGGAACAGAAGAAGAACCAATGATACTGACTTGATACACTTGCTTCACTATTTCTTTGCTTCTTCGATTTCTGTACTCAATCAAACGAGATAGAGATATTTTAGACTTGGACGATAGACTATAAGGTTCTGATTCTTTACATGCTCCATCATCTATCTTAGAATGGATAGACAAGACAGCAGTTTCAACATTCTCTCGGCAAATAGGACATTTCAGCTCGGTAAGATGGCATACACAAAGGTGACATATTCGAGTATGTCTACATGGCAGTAGTGTGAGAATCTGCCGAAACTCTTCAAAACATATGCAACACATGCTTAGAGAGTTAGTAGGATCCATATGCAAATCGAAGAAAAAGAGACAATATAAATTTCCAGACAGGGTCTTTACGCGCATTCCATCATCAATCATACTTGGGCATTTCTTCAAATACATCTAGAACGCCAATCTGGAATTCCCTTGAGTGATGGAACTTGGACAAAGGATTCAGTAAAACTCAGCCAATTGTCATAAGACACGATTTAGAATACAGTTTGCCTCTTGAGAATTCGTTGCCAAAACGATGTGGGATAGTAGTCACCCAATACAGTTTCGGATAAATATGCTCTCTTGTACTATTTAGTCTGCTATTGTTGCTTTCAACGCCTTGGAATCAGAAGTATTTTGTTGCCAAAGTACACTAATATATATTGCTCCCAAGAATAGCTTGGACATGTGCTGCAGAATCATAAGCTTTTTTGGGAGCTTTAACAACAAAAACTGGTTATCATTGTGGCACCTTTTTGTGACCAAACAGGTTATAGATTTGCTTCTTGTTTTACAATTTATTATCACAGCTTTTTTGAATGCAGCATATCAATAGCTGTTAAATTAAATCCGAAATTATTTAAAATTTGTTTTCATTACAAGCGAACTAATAGTCCTGTTCTAATTTCAGGATTTTTTTATGTGTGTAACGCTGTTACTTGTGTAAAAATTTCAGAATTGCTTTTGCTTTTTTGGAGGATTAAGCTCAAAATCTGTAAATCATTGGTCTGATATAGTTACCCTGTGAAGCCAGAAAAGCATTCATTTACCTCTTTTCCTTGAATTTCTTTCAACTGACCTTTCTGTATTATTCAATTCGTGTTTCAGTGAGACATATAGCAAGCTTCTCCATTTAGTTAACTGACGAGTTTAAAAAATTTACACTAGAAATTATCATTGCGATATCGGCATTATTTTAATTTCTTCATTCCGATAGTGTTAATTTAATCCTATCGCATTATTTTGAGATTATTATAAAATAATAAAATTATCAGTATAATTTGTATGGTTATTTTTCTGTGAATTTTTTTAATCTTTTGAATTTAAATATTTACTACGTTTATTACGATATATTATGATTTATCTTTAAGAGTTTTTTCTATCATGCAATTAAGTAGACTAGATATTATCTAGGATCGGGAAATTTCTAACAAAATTTAAACTGAAGTCTTTCACAATGGTAGTTTTGTGATTTCTTTTCGAGTAAACTTTTAATTAATGATGCACTACCAACAAAAAATAAATTTTCTCATTTATTGGATCGGTTAGTTGGCTTGGTGGTAATCCTTTTATAAAAAATTGTTCTGATCTTCTAATTTATGTAGCTTCATTGGATGAAGAGACTCTTGAGTTTTCGGTCGATTCCGAGCGGTCTAAAAACTTTTGCTTATTTTTGTTTGAAAAAATCTTCATTTTCAACTTCTTCTTCTGCTGTTGTTTTACTCAGTGGTGGAGCTGACAGTGCGACTACTTTGGCAGTTGCTGTTCGTGACGGTTTTGAAGTGCATGCATTATCGTTTGATTATGGTCAGCGGCATCGTCACGAGTTAGTATGTGCTAGTCGAGTAGCTGAACGTTTTGGTTGTCGAGAACATCGTATAGCACAAGTAGATCTTCGCGTATTTGGTGGTTCAGCGTTGACCAGTAGCGATTGTGATGTTCCGAAGGATCGTCAAGATCGTTCTTCGTCTATTCCAGTTACGTACGTACCTGCGAGAAACACGCTGTTTTTAAGTTATGCACTTGCGTATGCTGAGGTGATTGGTGCTACGGATATTTTTATTGGTGCGAATGCAGTGGATTACAGTGGTTATCCTGATTGCCGACCTGCTTATTTCCGTGTATTTGAGCGATTGGCGTCGTTAGGCACGAAAGCAGGGGTGGAGCAAGGAGTGGAGTACAAAATTCACGCGCCATTGTTGCACCTTTCAAAAACGGAGATCATCCAACTGGGGATTCGTCTAGGTGTTGACTTTGGGATGACCCATTCTTGTTATGATCCTCAAGAGAGTGGTCGACCGTGTGGGCATTGTGATGCTTGTTGCATTCGACAAGAAGCGTTTCACAAGTTGGGGTTTGCACGTGACCCAGCGTTGGAACGATTTCAATAGCAATCATTTTATTTCCTGAAAAATGAGGTATGTATATCATCTCCGCGTGAGAAGACAAACAACATGAAGCGTCAATCTCGTGATCGTCGTTTCTTCCCATCGACTTGAACACTAACATATTCTTTCATGCAATCCAAATAAAATCGAAGATTGGCATCCGACCAAGGTGGTCGTGCATAGCCTACACCAATCCGAGGTGTTGCAACGATATCTTGAACACAGTTCCAGTTATCATCGTCAACATATAGCATACTCTCGTTACAAACAACACTTGTTTGGTTGAGTCGCTTATCCAACGCCATCGCTTGACACAACTTCGCAGGACCTAGAAAATCAGCATCTCCACTTTCGTTCCAAAGATGACGCCACTACTGGGCTTACCGTTACAAAGATTTTTAAAGTTGTTCTGTTTTCTCAACTTGCACATAGTGGTAATTCCTTGTAGTGGAAACAACGCACGAATCAATACCGCTTCACCCGGTTGACCCGTGGATATATTGAAACAGTAGTGCATCCCATAAATAAAATAAATATAGCTAGTCCCAGGAGCTTTCAATCATTATATATTACGAACAGTACACCAACAAGAAATCAATCTCATTCCTACCTTGGAACATGGGTTCCGTGCGTGCAGTTCTTTTCCCACCGTAAGAATGACAAGCTCGGTCCAAAGTCCCTAAATAGGCTTCTACTTCAATAATACGACCCACCAAGACAACTTTTGTCTTTTCTTCTTCATCTTCATAGCGTCGAACAAGCCGTTTTCCAAGCAATTGTTTGGCTACTTGTATCGTCTCCTGGCCAAAGAAAGGGGCTGATAACATGAATCTCTAATTTTTTTTTGTAGTTGTTGAAATGATCATTGAATACAATAAGCACCAATCAAAGTGGACACTACACCTGACAATGTACATGGAGGAATACTAGTAGAAGGATGCCATCTCATGGCTTCTATTTCAAATACCATTGTTTCACTAGTCAAATATTTACTCATCTGCTCAGCTACTTGGGCTGGAGTATCCCAGCTTTCTAAAGGCGATAATAACGATGAGATGCGAGATAGAAAAGTATCATCAAAAGCTTCTAAAAGTATTCGACTACAAGATGACGCTTTTCTAAGAACCGTCTTTTTATCACGATAAGGACGACAAACTTCTCTTTTGGTACATAAAACGGTGATTGTCTGTTGCTCATCACAGCTTGACAAATCCAACAGGTATTCCAAGTGTTGTTGTGTACAACAACGTGTTGAAGCTTGTTTTTGCTCTTTTTCACTCCCATCTTGCCTTGAGCTGATAAGATATTGCTCCACTTGTGGAAATTTGGGTAAATAGGAAGGACATTCCCAAACTTGTAAGAGTTCATATCCCTTTTTATATCTCCACTTTACTTTCTTCACCCTTCCTTGACACAAAAAAGTCCTGCTTTCTCCAAGATGTAAAAGTTTTGCACGATTTTCCAGTTCCCCAAAAGTAATCAGATATTCCATTAGGGAGTCGTTCAACCGGGAAGGTAAAGACTCCAACCAATCAGGATGGTTACGAATCCTAGTATAGGTGGATAGGCAATCTTTTTGTTCCAAGTCATCTGAATCTTCTCCAAAAAGTTCTTCAAATGATATTTCTGGATGATTCCAACGCATTATCTGCCATTGCTCATCCAAGTAAATAAACTGACTCGAAAAGGTAGTCTTTAAATAAAATGAGTTTTGTTCCATGTTCTCATCCACTCTACACAACCGACAATCGGTAACCAACAAAGGACGCCCCACTTGCAAAGAATAGAAACATTTGGGTTGGGAACAAGAATACATCAATATAGGAATGTCAAAGGGTGAAGAAGAGTCCCTTATCAATACCTAGAGTGTTGTTTATCTATCGAATACATCTCAACCCTATCAAGATAAATGGATACTTACCCATCGACGTTCATAAAAGCGATATTCATGCGTAGGACGATAACGTTGAATGGGAAACAATCTATGTATTCTACCTACAAAGTCACAAAAGGATTCTCTTGCTGCTTGATTTCTCAACGTCGACCATTTCATCAAGTTCAAACTAACAAAAATCAATTCCTTTCAAAACTTAATTATGGAAAATTACTTTGTACATACCGAATGGGTGGGCAACTTTGTCTCAGGTTGCGACTCATAGCTTGCCTATAATCTAGAATGAACATCTTGCCTTGAGGATTGCTAGGATTCAATAATATTTCAGTATTATTATCTTTTTGGCGTATACGATATCCTTCCAGTATGATAATATCATCCAACTGAATAGACTCAAAATATCGAAAATACAACGTATACCAACAAATAACTTGAGCAACCATGTGATGGTCAGCTATCTGCAACTCGAACTTGATGGGAAATTTTTGTTCCGACTCTCTTCTACCAAAATGTGAACAACTAAACTTTTTCACCACACGTCCTATCAAAGGAAGAGCTGTGGTGATTTTTCTATTCTCATGGAAAGATACCACTTTGGATAGCAGTTGAGGTTGAGAATCACCAAAAAGTTGAAAAGAGTCGATGATGATATCTTCACGATGAATATGGGGATCGACGGGTACGCAGTCTTCCGTATTCAAGGATAGATAATGAAGTCTTCTACCTGCCAACGGTTGCGGTCGTGTCTCGCAAGGGTCCGCATTATCAGGGAATATCAATCTATTTCTCTCTAATACTGGTCCCATTTGTAACACCGAAAGTTGATGAACGACTAAAAAAGTAGCTATGGGAATTCTCCCTTCGTTTCTTCTCCATTCATATTTTTCTAACTTTATGCAAGTAGAAATAGTAAGCCAACCGTATTGCACCAAACCATTCAATAATGGTGAAAAGAGACACTTCAAAAGATAGTTGCCATCACTGAGTAACAAGTCATATGCTGGGGTCTTCCAGTCAGCTATCTGTTGTTGTTGTTGTTGTTGTTGTACAATGTTACTAATGCTATTATTGAGACTCTCATATTGACTCGATGACCTACTAGGACTTGACTTTTTAGTAGGTGAAGACCTTTCAGTTGTGCTTTCTTCAATTGGGAACTGTTCTAATAACCCAATGTTCTCAAAGAAGGAAGAGTCTTGTAAATATCTTTGGATTCCAACCACTACCAATCTAGTTGCTTCACGTGGTGAAATGGAGTGTTCTAAACCATCGCTTTGTGTATTTCGTAGAGTTAGAGTTCCGTTCTCGGTAAGTGAATAAACCATAGCGCGCTTTTTTCGTAGTTTTGTGTATTCCGCCCCAAAAGAAAAGAAAGAAAAATGCTCAAGGCGGGCAAATTGAAGTGGGATTAAGAAATTCCATTTTGTTGATCAACACGAACACCGATAGTTTCCATGATAAGCTCGTTAACGCACAAAGCTATATCACTGCAACGGTGCCAATTTCTAAAGTGTCTACTGGCAAACCCAAGACTTCATCAATATTGGCAGATACGTGTTTGAGTATATTACACAATCGAACCATCCAACGATGTATCAAGTGTGCATCCTTTCTTGGCTTCAGTTCCGTTCTTCCTTTAAAAAAACTCAGTGGATCATGTAATAACTGTACATCCGGAGTAAGTTGAACTTCAGCAGTTCTCAAAACTTCTTGCATATGCAATACCTTTTCGGCATAACCTATCCTTTCTAATGAACACAATACAATAGAAAAAAACTCAAGTAGATATTACCTATATTGACTACCAATCGATATAAACTTTGACTATATCGAATCAAGTGAAATCGAACATCTTCATCTACAAAAGGTACAGGAGCAGAACGAATAGTTACAAATATCAGTACTCGAGGTAAAACATGTAACTTGTTCAAAATAGCTTTCAATGGATAGGGAATTCCATATACTGAAGATGTCAAGAATATTCCAGTACCTTGGACCCTACAAGTTAAGTGTTCTGTTGGACTAGCCATGTATTGTTGATATTCCGACCATCGAAGACAATGATTAGTCATATACTTTTCTTGTTGTTTAGAGCCCCATTGCCAAACACTCATTAAAAACACAGTGATGAGACAAATAACTACGGGAACATAACCACCAGTGGGAACTTTGGTAAGTGAACTTGACCATAAAAGAATGTCGACCGTGCCCAAAACCAAAGGATAGCCTATCCATATGTACCAAGGCTTTTTCCAACCATATGCGATAACCAAAGTGTACAAAAAACTTGTCGTCACGAAACTGGTTGAAACAGCTACTCCAAATGCACTAGTTAATGCTGAACTCGTACGAAAGCCAACTTCCAGTGATAATGTAATGATGGCTAATATAATATTGATTTCCGGTAAAAACACTTGACCATATATCTGTGTATTGGTTCTCTTCACACGAAGCCTTGGAAATAAGTCCATTGCTACTGCTTGTCCCATAATAGAAAATGCTCCACTAACAATAGCTTGTGAAGCCACGATGGCAGCTAATGTACTTATAACTATGAGAGGCCATAATAGCTGAGTAGAAACTTGATAAAAAAATATCTTATCTCCCGCACGTATTGCCAATTCTGGTTGCGCTGCAATCATTGCCAATTGTCCAAAATAAGACAAAAGTACGGAAGGAAACACGATACCAAGCCAACCGATCCTCATAGGAGTTCTTCCAAAATGTCCCATGTCTGCATACATGGCTTCAGAACCTGTCAAGGATAATAATGCAGCTGATAGTTTAACAAAACCCACAGAATTGTCATTCCATACATATCCTATTCCTCTGAAAGCATACCAAGGATTGATACATTGGAATATTTTTGGATAATAAATAATATTTCGAATTCCTGCTACGGATTGACAAATACAGAAAACGAATAGAATAGGACCATATGCCCAACCAATTCTTGAGGAACCAAGCGGTTGTCCGACAAATACAATAAATAATATGGCTACACTTATTCCCACTACGGAAGAAGTACTCAAGGATGGAATTCCAACCTGCAGTCCTTGTATTGCACTAACCACACTAATGAAGCATCAGCTTAACATATCTCTCAGAAATCCATATTTTACTTACGATATTGCTGGAGTCAACGTTCCATCAGCCAGCAACGCTCCAGCACCAATCATAGCTACTATTTTAGCCACTTGAAATACTTTAGGTTTGACATTTTTTTGTTTTAGTAGACCAATAATAGCAAAAGCTCCACCCTCTCCGTTATGGTCTGCCATAGGAACGAATATGGTATATTTTATAGTTGGTACAAGAATAAGCAACCAAAATATGATACTTCCACTTGCCATTATTTCCAATTCCGAAGGTATTTTGCCGTTTGCGGCATAAACCAAAGTGGATATGGTATACAGTGTTGAAGTACACAAGTCTCCATAGGACAAGCCCAAGTTTTGTAAGGTTCTTTTGACTATAGTCCATAGGTTGGGGTTATCCGTATAAGTAAACAAGTCTTCGACAGGTTTTACCAGCAACTCTTCCTCAGCCAATCCGTTGGCAATGGGTGAGAAAGATACTAAAGTTCCTGGTGGACAGTATTTTTCATTCTTATTTTTCATAGCTTCATTTCGTAAGTATTCCAATCTAGTGGTTAAAGACTTCAAGGTGGCGTCTTGGTTTTCCAACGCGCTGTTGCTTTCTTCACTATCGAGTTCTTGTTGCACATAATGTTGTTGGTATGCTGTACATTGCATTGTATTTGTAGTTCTTTGTGTTGAGTGATGGAAAGTGCTACTACTGGCAACAGAGTGTGCCATCATCATCAGCCAATCAATCCTCCTTTTTTATATTTATTATTGAGAAGATTCCATCGCGGCAAATTTGTCTTCAGGTTGATCTTCATGCTATAAAATTATTATCAAACATATGATAACTCATCATTTCAATACTCTACTTACTGGTAGGGGTTGAACAATACCAGGAGAAAAGACATAAAATATGGGATAATGAATAAGGTTCACTACATCACTCGTATACAAGTCGGCATAACGTTGCATTTGCCAAGAAAAGTAACTTGGACGAGTTCCTGTCCTAAACAAAGAACCAAAGAATACGTTGTAACTTGCATCCAATGCTAAGCGAGTCTGAGAAATATGTTGGCGTAAATCTTTGGCATCCGGTGGAACCGAAGAATCCGAGTCAAGCCCTAATGACGCCATTCTTTATATAAATATATATATCCATGGACTTGTATATGTCTACATATACTTACCTCGATATATTTCTGCTCGAATCCATTCCAAATTATGCAATTTATCGCGCATATCTTTGGTTTGGACAAATGACGTAATCTCGTCATTCAATTCTCGAATAACCAACAAAGACCGCCATTGATGTGATTTTTTGGAAACCAAAACATCAGAAAAAATATGGTCGCCAATATACAAAACATCATTTCCTTGAGAGTCGGTCAGTTGTCGAAATATTTCTACATTACCTCCATGAAACACTTTGCCCAAAGTGTTCTTCTTCAATTGTTCTATATCAATTACTGACAACTTGAGACGTCCTGAATTCAAATCGACTTCTCTCATAGCAGTTCCTTCACCAAAAAAGGAGGGTTTGCGTGCACCCACTATGACCAAGTCAAAATAATGACGCCATGAATGGCCCAAAATATGTTTCATAACAGCATCCGTATACAACCATTCGGAATTAGTCAATAAGAAACAAAATTTTCCTCTTTCTTTCAATCTTTTCAATAATAGAGACAATCTTTCGTCTCTACGGACATAATGATCGAGATTTTCCAAAGTTTTCTTTTTCAATAAGCCATCATGATGAATGTTATCCATTGCATGCATCATATCTTGAAATAAACTAGAATAAGATATAACTGCATCCTTGCTTGAATTTTTAGAATCTTCTAAACCATGACCAAATGAATGGTCAAAGTGGTCCACCAAATCTGCAAAAAGGCAAGCTTGAGGCAAAGCAAATAAAGTATCGATGGCAAAGAATCGAGTTCCTATTTGGTCACTCGGAATGAATAAGGAAGGATATTCTACCCTTGTTTCTTCTCTAGTATGTGTCTTTCTTCCATGAACACTCAATAAAATGGCACCAAAAGAGTCCAACTACACAAGCTTATTGAGTTGGTGCGTTGACGATATCTTCTACTTACTTTTATCAAGTTGCCCTTTTGTTTGTCCAATAATAAACCTCTTATAGGAAACTTTGGGTCATAATGTAAAGATAATAATTCTTCTGGATAACCAGCCCCATATATCAAATCGTGTAAAGCTAAAGAATAGGTCAACTCTTCATAGGCTGGTGACTGATATACGGCAAGGGTATAATCCATATCAAATCCATAAAAGTGAATATCTTCCAAGTTGGTATCTCTGTTGGCATATATTCTATTTTCTGCATATCTTCTATACTTTCTTGGAAGTTGTGAAGGGTTCAAGGATTCTATCCACTTGAGTTGTTCTGATTGGGGTAGGGAGGCAGTTTCTTCTGATAATCCAGCCCAAGGATTGTCTCTAAACAATACTTCAACTATATTCCAATATCTACCTTGAATCGTTACCTTTCATTCTGAGACAATATACCCAATTCTGAAAGTCTTTGTAAAGCCAAGTTGGTAAAACTTCTCGATGGAGACTGCATGATCAATCAATCCGTATCTTTTGGAGATGAATTGCTTTCTGTCACCTCTTTCCTTATGTACTCGTGTCAACCAGTATCAACTTTCAAAAAGCTTATTTTTGGGTAACCAACTCTGCAAATATTCTTGTTGTACAGTTAAGAAGAAGTATCCAGTTGATTTGCCCATTTCCCACTCTTCGAAACTGTTTGCAAGTGTCAATATATCTCTCGTATGGGAACAACTAGAAAAAGGTGCTGTAGTATTTGATTTTCCTAAATATAGTTATTTTAGAATATCCGGTGATGATCGCCTTTCATTTCTTCATAATATGAGCAGCAATCACTTTTTGAATTCGCAACCCTTTGAATCCCGATGGACTTGTTTTCTAACTTCAACAGGAAGGATATTGGATGTGGCTCTGGTACTAGTGCTAAAAGATTCCATTTTGGTTGTTTCCTCGATAGAAAAGAAACAAATGCTTTGGGAACATTTCGATAAGCATATCTTCCCTATGGATAACGTATCTGTAACGGAAGAAAACTATGCAAGTTTTGTATGGATTGGAAAGCAAGCAGTGGATTGGATTCAAAACTGGTATCAACAACTAGGAATGAATGGAGACCAAGAGCAGTTCCAAGTCTTTGATCATACAAACCATCCTATTTACTTACTTCAGCAATCCACTTTGGAACCCAAATGGAAAGGATATCTACTCCTTTGCTCAGCTGAGGATATTCACAAGGTACATGCAAGTATGTCCAGTTTCCAAAAGAAAGGATTTCTTCTATTTCATATGGACAAGGAGCATTGGGAATGTTTGAGAATAGAGATGGGCAAAGGAAATGTACTTTGCGAATGGAGTGAACAATATCATCCATTAGAAGCTGGTTTATGGCATATGGTTTCCTTTCAAAAAGGTTGTTATCTCGGACAAGAAACAATACTTCGACTGAAAACTTATGGAGGAGTCAAAAGATACTTGGTTGGATGGTTTCTTGAATATCCAGTAGAAACACCCAGTCATGTCTATTGCCAAAAAAGAAGAGTAGGAAACATTACGAGTTGCAAAACTATACAGAAAACAACAACAAGAGAATCCCAGCCACAAGACATGACGGTTGTGATAGGTTTAGGTTATCTTCAAAGCGAATATGCTACTTTGGAATATGAGATGGATAAACCCTTAGAAAGGATAGCTTCTATACAAGATTTGCCTTGGGAATCAACTATATTCTTCTCTAAAGTACCTGGACAAACATCCACTCCAGTAAAATGTATAGTTAGAAGGATCGTCTTTCCTGTATGGCACTAGAAGCGCTTCCTAATGATGAAATAAATAAATGAACTGTGGGTTTTCAGGATCCAACAATGCCAAACAAGTATTATGAATATGATTATTTTCGTTACTAGATAATAGAATGCTATATGGCTGTTGGGCTTTCCTATAATGAAGTTTCCCAAAACAATAAACAGTATCTGAAACCAACAAATGATATACCTACCATGAGGAGATACGCGCCACTTCCAATACATACTGAATGATTTGATAAGTCTTTCCTTCGTCTTGAGTATGAAAACAGGAAAATTCCAGCGAACCAACGTCACAAATGTCTTCATTTCCCATAGACTCGTTTACTTTAGCTCTGAATACAGGAGGTCCAAAGAGTTCTTGTTGAACGGCTTCTTGGAAAATTCCATTCAAGTCCAACTCTAAAGCTTGCAGTTGAGGAGAACAGGGAGGCTTCCAAATAAATACCAAACGAAATACAGAAACATAAACTTGTCCAAAACCAAAGTAGTCTTCTTTAATAAACCTGGTTAGCTTTTCAGAAACTCTACTATCCATTTTGTGACTCTCACAAGTTACCCATTGCTATCTCTTATAGTGTACTGAAAACGAACAAAACTACAGTCCCATACAAATGCCTCTCCTTCTCTTCTTTCAGGAGACCTAGAGAAGTTTCTAGCAACTTCACTTAAAAAACAAGCGCTTCATTACCCATCACTTCTCAATAAAGGATTGATCCTCATTCCTTTCTTACACCACCAAAGAGAAATGGCGCAATTATCTTTTAGAAAAAATGCAATTTGCCTTGGCAATTTTAGAGCACGTTGTTGTATGATTGATTGTGTACAGCTCATCCTTTTAGTTGAGTGATCATAAAGAAGCAATGTGGAAAATTACTTGTGAGAGAGGTCGACAATGGTGGGATTGGCAAGAAGAAGGTGGTTCAGAAGAGTTGATAAACCAAGTGGAAACGGCTAGAAAGGACTTTGAGAAGAACAAGCACCAACAAAAGCACTCTGCAGATCGAATACTTAGAACCATTGCATTGTATAGACCGTTGAATGAAGCGTATGGGATGGATGATGTTACCGATTATATGAAGAGTTTGGATAAGAGAATGAGTCAAGAGGATGAAGGGAAACGTTACCGGATACAATTGGAGAAAAGTTTAGCAACTGCTATACAGTATTATAGAAGACTACAAATGTCTGATGGCCATTGGCCTGGAGACTACGGAGGGCCTATGTTTCTGTTACCTGGACTGGTAATCGTTTGTTATATCACTGAAACAGATTTGGGCAACGAAACGAAAAAGGAAATGAAAAGATATTTGTATAATCACCAAAACGAAGATGGTGGTTGGGGTTTACATATAGAAGCTCCTTCTTCAATGTTTGGAACTGCGATGAATTATGTAGCTTTGAGAATATTAGGGGTTGACAGGGATGATTCCGCCGCAATAGCTGCGAGAAATTGGATTCTTCAAAGAGGAGGAGCGCTAGGCATTCCTTCCTGGGGAAAGTTGTATTTGGCAGTGTTAGGATTATATCATTGGGATGGACTAAATCCTCTCACCCCCGAAATGTGGATTCTTCCTTATTGGGTACCCATTCATCCTGGAAGATTTTGGTGCCATTGTAGAATTGTTTATTTGCCGATGAGCTATTTGTATGGAAGAAGAGCAACTGCTAAGGAAACATCGTTAATTCGAGAACTCAAGGAAGAACTCTATTTGGACAATTTTGATCAGATTGATTGGAATGCACAGAGAGAGAATTGTTGCAAAGAAGATATTTACACACATCGTCCCAAAGTGCAAAGTTGGCTATGGACCATTTTGAGTTGGTATGAAAAATTTCCTATTCCAGGAAAGTCTTATCTTCGCAATCTTGCATTGGAAGAAACCCTCCTTCAAGTAAAGAAGGAAGATGAATATACTGACTTTATATGCATTGGACCAGTAAACAAAGTTCTCAATATGCTTTGTTGTTATTTTGATGATCCTTATTCGGAACATTTTAAGAAACATATTCCAAGATTGAAAGATTACCTGTGGTTAGCAGAGGATGGTATGAAGATGCAAGGTTATAATGGTTCTCAGTTGTGGGATACTGCGTTTTCTGCACAAGCTTTATGTGAGGCGGGTTCCATTACAAGGCATCATTTTCCTTCAACATTACAATTGGCTCACCATTATTTGGATATTGCACAAGTGCGAGAAAATGTTCCACAAGGAGAAAGATATTATCGTCATATATCAAAAGGAGCTTGGCCATTCTCTACAAGAGATCATGGTTGGCCTATATCAGATTGCACAGCAGAAGGACTCAAAGCTGTATTGGCATTGGAAGCCTGTGGAAGTATTCCAAAAGAGCAATTCTTTTCTCATGAACGATTATTCGTAAGTTTTCTTTTGTGTTGTTCTTATTCTTTCAAATACATATTTAATGGATTAGGATGCTGTTGATGTTAGTTTATCGCTACAAAATAAAGATGGAGGTTGGGCCACTTATGAAAACACGAGAAGTTATTCATGGCTCGAATGGATAAACCCTTCAGAAGTATTTGGAGATATAATGATCGATTATTCTTGTGTAGAATGTACTTCATCTTCTATTCAAGGTTTAGCAGCCTTTAGAGCTCGACATCCTGGTCATAGAAGAGCACAAGTGGATATAGCTATTGAAAGAGGCGCTCGTTATATTGAAAGTATTCAGAGACCTGATGGTTCTTGGTATGGTTCTTGGGGCGTTTGTTTTACTTATGGTACTTGGTTTGGAGTGGAAGGTTTGGTAGCTGCAGGTCGTACATTTGAGTCTTGTGAAAGTTTACCTAAAGCTTGTCGCTTTTTATGTTCCAAACAGAAATCCGATGGTTCATGGGGAGAAAGTTATCGTTCTTGTACGGATAAAGTTTGGATGGAAGCTGAACAAGGTCAAGTGGTACACACTGCTTGGGCAGTGATTGCTTTGATCAAAGCTATTTGTACAAGTCACTCCATGTGGCATTCGGATGTTCATGTATCCCATCAAGCATATCATTCCAGTATTCGTAAAGGAATTGATTTCTTATTAGAAAGTCAGTTGGAAAATGGGGATTGGCCACAACAGAGAATATCTGGTGTGTTCAATCGCAATTGTATGATCAGTTATTCCAATTATCGCAATATCTTCCCATTATGGGCAATTGCTTTGTATCGAAGTCGATGTTTAGAAGAAATTTAATGATTGAGTGGTGATTGGTTGTGTTTCGATAAAGCAAGTGAATTTTTTTTTATTTTCCACACAAAATGAAAACACTCACGAAGAAGAAGAACAATGGCAAGTACCCTCTTTACCCAATTGAACCAAGTCAGGAATATAGATACTGGTATCCAATGTGTCTGAAAGACGTGCTCCAAAAGGTGCATAAGGATAAGTATAAGAAACGGTTACCGTCACAGGATAAGAACCAGAATACTTATCACTAGGCAGATCGAAATGCCATGAAACTTCCACTTGTTCCATTTCATGAATAGAGTCATATTTCATGGCAGTTAATGGAATGACTTTGACTTGGGAAGAAATATTGAGTTGTACATGCACATGTTGCATAGTGGATGCTCCCACATTTTCAATTCTCAACGATGCTCCATAACGTTTAGGTGATTCTGTCAACATCATCGGAGAAGGATTGAAATAAATGACATGATGAGGTGGAGCATCTTGAGGCTTTCCTGGACGAATGCGATACATTTTCACACCATGGCCTTGAACATATGCCGATATAAAATGACGAATGGTGGTCTCTTGTTTGGTCCACAAGTCTCGGAGAATGTAGACATCATAATATGATGGCATTCTTACTTGTTCAATTGTAGTGTTGATGACTCCAGGACCATTACTACTGAAAAGAACAATGGCAACATCTCCATTTGCTAATGGTTTCGTGACAACATCTTGTGCGATGTCACTCTTCACACGTATTCCTTGAACACCAAGCACATCTTGATCCACATCTATCACTTCCTTATTGGTCAATATCATCTTGGTGGCTTCCGTCATGTTGATGACATCCGTTCCAACCACAAGAGGTGCGGCCATGATGGACCATAAACTAAAGTGGGTGATATATTCTTCCGTGGTCATTCCCCCATTTCCTACTTCCAACATATCTGGGTTGTTCCAATGCCCAGGTCCTGCTTTAGAACCATGTAAAATATTCTGTTCATAACGGTCTCGCATCACATCATAATTATCTGCAATATCATCCGTTGTTCTCCATAAATTGGCAACATCAGATGCCCATCTCCAAGGATAGACATCGGGATCCCATCCATTGCACATACTAAACACTATATGTCTTCCTGTCTTGTTCAATGCATCTCTAAAGTCTGAATAGAGTTTCTGAGCAACTTGTTCATGACTCCATCCTGGAAATTCCCAAAAAGGTACATTACACCAATCAAACTTGATATAATCAACTCCCCAATCAGCAAACTGTTGGGCATATTCCTCATAATGGCCATAACTACCAGGAAAACCTGCACATGTACGAGTACCAGCACAATTATAGATACCAAACTTAAAACCCAAAGAATGAATATAATCAATCACTGGCTTAATACCATGAGGAAACTTAAAAGGGTTGGGTTGTAAAGACCCATCTGGTGCTCTTTCTGGTGCTTCCCAACAATCATCAGGATAAATGTATTCGTAACCAAGTTCCAACATTCCAGCGTCCTTCATAGCTTTAGCTGTCTTCATAAGTGTTTCACCATCATATTGGCAATGATAAAAGTTCCAGGTGTCATAACCCATAGGTGGAGTTCTAGCCAAGCCATTATCTAAAGCAAAGGTAAAGGAAAAGCAAAAAGCAATAATAATCAACCAAAAAATGATAGTGGTGACTATTGGTGATGGAACCATATTCGATTAAAAAATAGCACAACTGCTTTAGAATGGATTCCATGATGACTGTATTTAAAGGAATGAAAAGGTACAACGATTCATGGAAAGACATCTCGTCACGAGGACATGAAATGAGAGCAAGGCTGGAGAAGCATGCTTGAGGTAAGTATGTCCCTGAGAATAGACAAACAGAATATGCTCTATCCAACTACTGGAGTGGAATGTATTTTCTTCCCAAAGTGTTTATAAACCTCACTTTTGTAAACAAAGAAGAAGTTTCTCTTTCAACGCATCCTTACAATATAATATAAACTTAATGAGCTAAAACAACTAATCGCTTTCTACTTGTAGGGTTGACTTGTATTCGATCTGAAGATCGGAACCAGCCTTGATAACCTCCCAGCTCCTCGTTTTCAACCCAAAGACGAACTTGAAAACCATCAATCTGGAAACAAGTGACTCCAGCTTCTACTAAACTCCTATCCACATTCAACAGTGCTTCCAAGTGTGACTGACTCCAAGTTAAGACAACTGACGAAACTTTCTCAAAGGAAATGTTTTGAGCTTCTAAAGTAGTGAGGAACAATACAGGTACAGTCACTTGGTTACCAATATTTAAAGAGAAAAGTCTTCTTTCCAAATGGGGTTCCTTTTCTTCACACTCATTCATTGCCCACTGAGAAAAGGACTAAGGTTACTTTGGTATATCGCTTCACAGATACTATTATTGAATATCCATTGTGACCGAATAATAGGAGAATGTCACAATAGGGAATGGACAACACACCATATCTCCTCTTTTATTTTTTTATATATGAAGATCTTGTAACCTTGTTCTATTCTTATGAAACAATCATCTCAGGATGAATACGATGAAGGTAGAAAAAGTATGCATTATTCATTCCCATACAAAGCATATATATATATATATATATATAGATAGATAACAACACTTGTACACCCCAACATAAATAGACTACTCTAACCAACAAACTATAAACATTCAAAATAGACGCAACTCTATACCTGAATAAAACTAAGAAATAGAAGAAACAAAAGCTTCCAAAGCTTTACAACGTTGTCTCTCTTGGCTAAGTTGTTGCTCCAACTGAGCAATTCTTTTGTCCTTTCTATCTTCAGAAGCAACTCGATGAATAATGTCTCTAGCACAAGGACGAAGATAAGGATCGGGACAAAGCATCTCCTTAATTAAACTAGCCAGTTCGCTACTCACAGTCATTGGCTCAAGATGACCTTGTCTTATGTCATGCCACTCTTCTCCACCACTTGGCAATGGAACCTTTGACTCACGACATAACTCATAAGCTGTCATTCCCAAAGAAAAGATATCGGCCTTTGTTAAAAACTGATAGTTTTCTTCCAAAAGCTCTGGAGCAATGTATCTCGAGTCTCCTTCAGATAAATCTATGCGATAACCCTGTACTATGGTATCTTCGGCAAGAGCAGTAAGTCCCAAGTCTCCAATCTTACATGTCCCATTGGAGGTCATATAAATATTTTCTGGTTTAATATCCAAATGAACGAGTCCCTTTTCATGATAAATGGCTAATCCTGAAGCAATTTGATAGATAAATTCTCTCATTCTCTCTGTATCAAATACAAGATTTCCACTCTTCCATAACGACATGACAGAGCCTCCTTCACATAATTCTGTTTGAATGTACAAAATATCGTCTTCAATCCACGCAGTAAAGTATCTCACCACATATGGATTGTCAGTCATGGCAGCTAAGGCATATACTTCCCTAAGAACATTTTGCATTTCAGCTTGATTCCTTATTTTTCGACGCGTACTTTTGACAGCATACAACCAGCCGTCTAATCTTTGGCGACATTTGAACACTTTTCCAAAAGTTCCAGATCCAATTTCTTCGATTTCTTCAAAATCGTCCTTGTAAGATGAGAGTCGTCCAGTTGAAAAGGCTGAGAAACTAAGATGATCTTCTTCACTACTACTATTATCAAATTCATCATTTTCTTGTTCATTGCAGACAACAGAGTCACTATGAGACATCAAAAGGGAGGTAGAATCAAAGGCAAGGCTTTTTGAGACATTGGAGCAGCAGCTTATAATACTGCTTGCTGGCATATCCAATGAAGTATCTTCTTGAGGAGAGCTGAAACCTTGTGATCTTGCTTCTGGAGAAAATGGATTCATATTACAAGGTGCTGGATTAGCAATTGTTCTAATAGGAGAACACAATGAACATCTACGGATAGAAGGAGAGAATCTCATTCGGCTTTCTTCTCGCCACTTCTTATGACAATAGGGACATGTAAATACTTTTTCACAGCTAACTGGAGTATTCAGAAGATTGGTTGTAGAACATTTATCACTCATAAAGTCTGTTTGAAGCTTTTTCTGTTCTGTCACAGGGGAACATAGTTCTTGATAACTATCTTCTTGCATCCAATTGTCTCTTTCTATATCTTCTTCATTGTTTCTAGAACCAGGATTTTGATTCTTCAAAGTTGGTTCATAAGCCAGCGGTATATCCATAGCTCCAGTAGGTGATGATGGAAACAGAGGAGGCTTACAGGATTCAGTTGTATAAGACTTTTCTCTTATATTGCCTTTGTCAAAAACATGATTTTGGAGACACTGCAGTGGTTTCTCTTGAGTTTTTAAAATATTTTCTTTTTCAGTTCTGTCAACCTGAGGAATATTCTTACTGCTAGTGAGTGTATTTCTAGCTTGTTGGTTTCCTATTATTTGTATATCTTCTTTAAAGCTTAAGTTGGTTCTTTTAGGCGACGAAAACAAGTTTCCTGTTGTCTGCTGCCCAGTTCCAAAGAATCTTGGGCGTCTTCTAGCACGGTGGTTGGGAGACTTGACTGGTGTTGGAGGAGGTTCCAAGTCCTCTTCTTCGTTATTCAAACTCTTGGTTAAATTTTCGATACTCGTTTCTTCACGTTCAACCTGTTTTCTTCTTCTAGGAGTCATCATTTCATCACAACAACCAGTCCATCACAACACAACTCCAGAAATGCACTTTTCCAAATTTAAAATAGGCGGGCTTTTATTTTTTTCTTCTTTCACATAATACATATGGATTTCCGTGTACGGTGTTGACTGACAACGAAGTCATAGCAGAGCATATACTTTGTTAATTAAACACCATTCATTCTTAGCCAAGTGCTCATGTCAAAGAGTTGTCTATGTCAACTCCCCACCTTTTATACCTGGCTTATTTCTATGAATAAAAGACCTCCACAAGAGTCACGAGGAGGAGTTGCAAAAACCTCTTTGTTGTATTTACCAGGAAAGAATCGTTTTATTATAAAGGGGATTGTTTCATATAGTCAGTGAAACAAAGCGTCAACAGGTCTTGGTATTTCCTTCTCCTTTGACCCCAAAAACTAAACTGACAGACTCCTACGGTCCTTTTTGCTTTATTAACATATACATACTTACATGTTTCTTGGAAAGAATATTTAAGGTCAAAAAGAAAAGTTCCTCCATTTGTCCACCCAAAGCGATAAAATTTCTCTCAACCTTTTGATATTTCGATGAAAGGCTTGGACGATTCTTTGGTCTAAACTATTCAACACCAATGAGACCCCCTTTTACTACACTTATACTGCATACGTGGAAAGAACATGGAAAACCAAAACCTTGGAAAAAGTTGTTTCTAGACACCGAGGAGGAAGAAGAAAGTGAAACGAAAAGAATACAGGACAAGACAAAGGAAAACTTGTCAAGTTACAAAGCAAGGAATTCACATAGAGTGGTGAGGTCAGTTTCTTTAGATCAAATCTCTTCCAAAAAGCTTTCTCCAGTTCTTGCTTTGGATATGGGAGATGACTCGGGTCACCTTGTAACTATTCGAAAATCTCATAGCATAGCAGAGGGCTTATCTTGCTCGTCAGAAGAGTCTCGTCTCATGAAGAGGCACTCACCGTTATGGAAAAAGAATGAAGAGAGTTTTGAAAAGTTTTCATCTTTCATAGGAGTTGCTAAAAAGTCAAGAAGCTTTCATGAAGGCTTAGTTGCAAAGAAAGAACCCTGTTTAAACAAACCGCCTTGTTATTCTTCCCCCAACGTTGGGAAAGAAAGTCCTTGGTGGAAAACTTCTTCTGAAGAGGTACGGTTCGATTACCGAAAGCTGCGGTGTAACAACAACAACAACAACAACACGTTCTCTTCCACTCAGTCCGTTACCCCAAGTTTCTAAAAGCTGTTGTGGGATGGTGTTTTGTCTTTCCTAACTCTTTGATATTCTTACTTGTGATAGGCTTTTTTTGGACGATTTTGTGTGAATATATTTGAAACAACATAAACTCAAAGAAGAGCTTTGCTTTCACAAAGTTTCTTTTTTCCGTTTACTGTATGTTCTCTCTATTGACAATTTCACTCTTTAAAAGTTCCAACTCACTTTGTCCACTCCTGTTTCAAGCAATTATACCAGTTCGTACCTCAAGCTGCAGTTGAAACCTGTGGAGTTGCTTTCAAGTCATTGAGTCCTTGACTATTACAAGAATATGCAAGAGAGTCCTTGTATTTCTTATAACGCGCCACTACTGTCGGGTAAGTGTACTTGTAGAATTTCTCCATGTTAGCTACCACTGCACTTTCTATCAACGTGCCAATTCCCATAATATTTGCAGTACAATCTCCAACCATAACATGTTTGCACTGTTCTTCTCCAGCAGGTTCAACTGTAACCTGTCCTCGGGTAACCACTCTGTCTTCCAACTTTCCCAAAGGACGGTTTATAAACACTTGACAAAAAGGGGCAGAAATGTCGTTCCACGTTTGTACATCTTCAAAACCCGTAAAAAACTTTTCTACATATTTTCTGGCCATCTTTGCCAACTCAAAAAACTCCATTCTCGGAGTGTAACGAACTCTACGGTGACCCGTTCCGTCAGAATCCATCCACTCCTCTTCTATTTCTATTTTCTCAAAATTACTTTTCTTCTCATTGCATAGAAAGCGAAGAAACTCGTTGGACGACCTCACTTTCCAAAACTCCTCTCTATTCATAGGAAGAAAACAGACAATATGAAACTTCATCGTCCTTTTACAAATTCATTCCATTCATTCATCCCCATCGCGCTTTTGAAGATGCGAAAAGAAATGAACATATCCATATGTATTGTGAATACCTCAGAATAGTCTTACAATAGTAGCTTAATGACTGAAGAACTATTCAAGATATTTTATCAATATGTACTTGAGTGCTTTCATGACAGCTTGGTCCGAAAATTAAAAAAGTATAGAAGCAACAAGTTTGAAAAAAAGCCCTCCTTTTGTGAGATTGAATGCAATACTTATCTTTATATTAGTAGCGACAATGCGTACATTTCTTCTTTCGCTGATCATGAAATGAAAAGATCTATATTGTCTCTGAATATTGATCATGTATATTTTATCTGTTTCTAAGAGTAATTCTAAGAAGAATATATACATATGTATTTTCCAAAACAAAAAAATATTTCAATGGCATAATTTTAGCAACTTGACATGAAAACCAAAAGTTTGCTAACAAGTGAATGATACAATATCATAAGTATTTCGGTGAATTGACAAAAAATGGTTCTCTTTCATTCTTCTATTCGCACTATTTCTTCCAAGCAATCTCATTTTGAGCTTTGAGTACCTTATAGCCTCCATCAACTCACCTCATACGAGGTTCATCTCCACCAGATCAACAAAAATATTCTCTTTGGTTCTCTCTTATAATAGAATATCTTTCTATATATGTCGTTTCATGTCTTTCAGAATAACGTTTTGTATGTGTTTGCCAAATAACGGTTTTTATCCCCAACATTGGAAAGACTATTATGGAGGACCATTTCTTAGTCTATTTTTTATCAGAGATTTTCTCGTCAATCATCAAATAATTATAATTTGCTTTCTAGAAACTTGTTATTTTAGCATTTGGGGAAGACCTTCTTATCTTTCTGGTTTTTATAAGAATCGTAGACTCTGAAAACTTGAACCAAATTACAGGATTTCCCTTTGGCAACTTGAGATTGAGAGTGTCATATAAAATGACTGACTCCATGTTTGTGAAACTCCGGTTGATCATTATTATAACGAGAGTGCAGCACAATTCGTAAGCGAGTGTTGATGTAGCTTGAATTAAATGCTGCTCTTATGCCTCATCTTTCGCCCGTTTTGGTTCACCAAGAGCAAAATTGAATTCTCACAATGATATTATATAAATCTTCGATGACTGACTTGATGATATTCCTGACATCGTTTGGCACACAAGTTATTGGTCTGTTGAGTTCATAAGATTGCCTCCGATTTTGAATAGTCCTAGATAAAAAAATTTCAACCGAAAGTAACGTAGATTGGAATCTTCAATTACTCTAAACAATATTCATTTTGTTTCAACTTGATTCCAGTCATTTCCTAGAAGAATGATTGCTGCTATATTGTTCAACAAGAGACTTGCAAAATCAAAACCGTTGGAAACTGAACGATACTCATCCACGAATAATAGAGGTTGAAGACAGAAATGATGACTATCAAAAATTGCCATTGCCATTGTTGCTTGAATCGAGTCGTAAGATACAATCTCATGTATTTTCTATCATGCAGCGAGACATTTTATGATGGAGAGATATATCGGCATATGAAATTAAGAATATTTGGAAATTTAGGTAACCTTTTTGAATAAAGAGACAATTCATCCTAAAACAATACTTACTTGCCTCGTGTCTATTCCTCTTTTGCAAAATTTTTTTATCCAACCAACTCGAGTACAAGAATGCCACATTTTGATGTCTCTTACACAGTTTATTCTCCTCATATTGCCAGAAAATCTTGTTCAATTCTGAGTTTTTTCAGAAAAAGAAACGCCTAATAATTTAACCACACCAAGTGGACTATCCATTTTAGGATAGCACTCGGAGAAGAAGAAATTTTGTAAAAAGTTGGTTGCCACAAAATGAACAAAAAAGAGTAAAATGCAACTTAATGAAAAATATTTTTCTCTTGACTATGCAAAGTGCTAATTTTATTTAACCTATCAATAGCATAGTGAGAAATACTGCGCCATTCATCAAAACAGTGTTTCATCTTGGGGAGATGATAATCATCTTTTCAAAATAGAACGCTTCAACTGACTCCAACCCCGAGTAAATGGGATGCAAAACGTGACGATTACTTACAACTCTCGGTTGTTTCGAAAACTTTTGATCATACCCAAGGTTGTACAGTTTTTTTTGTAACCGACAAAAAATACTCCTTCGTGACCTGCAGTTTACAATAGCAGTTGTTGTTGGCACAGTGAAAATGAACGATAGAATTTTTTAGAATCAAGGTTTCTAACCTACTTTTGGTAGTAGTGTTCTTCTATTGTTCTTTCATGAATGAGAAAAATTAGTTATGTTGCTTGGATTCTATCACAAAAAAACAAACCTGGAAATGGATAATAACCTTTGAATGAAGCAAAAAAAGACTCGATATTCTTTCTTGTGACTTTTAGTGAAAGAATGAACACAACCACAAATATATGAACACAAATTTTGCAGATTTTGAACCGTTGGCAAAGTTGAATCATTTTTGTTGTTTTCAGTGGAGGAAAGAGAATGAACAGAAGATGGAACTCGGCTGCTGAAGGATGAACTTGTAACATGATGTCATTCTTTGCGTTTGTTGGCCTGATGATATAGTAGTACCAAATTCATTGAAGACGTTCTTGACAGAGTTCAATAAAATTTGTACAAAGTAGTAAGTATCGACATACGAAAATCTTCTCACTTTACAAAATATGAAATTTCAAATATTTCTTTGGTAACAAAAGACTATCAAGGGCAACAAGCTGATAATCTCAAGTATTTTCTCAAAAAGATGAAAATATTTGTTGTAATGTTGAAATGCCAATACTCGTTGGATATAGATTATCGACAAACTTGAAAGCACTTCTTAAATTGGACAAAGCATATTCGTCAATAAAGTTTTTTACATCGACTACAGAAAGAATAATCAAAAAGTTTTGGGAAATCTCGAATCATACAGCCAAATGAGTAACAACGACTGGAATCAAGGCATCATTTATAGCTGATTTGGTATGAATGGTAATCAACTTAAAATGCCATGTAGGATGACCAAGTCAATACTTGATCATGAAATGGTTTCAAAAACTTGTGGGCTTTTTTCAAAATTTCATTCCATCTCATATACCTTGACAACTCTATCCTCTTTCTCAAAACAGACAATATCCATAATCTCAAGTTGTTCTTCACAAATGATTCGTTGCAACTCTTTGTGTCTAGACTATGAGATTTTGAATGAAATGAAATTTCTATCCTTTCAAATTCTCAGATTAATATATATATATATATATATATATATATATCAATCGTGGAATATTTCAGGTGTAAAGTTCCAATCGAATATCTTTTATAGATAATCATACTCAATGCAGTTTTCACAAAAGGAGAATGAATGCTTTTAATGGAGACTAAGACAATAATGGATCAAAATACAAGACTTGACTGCTACAAAATCATTCCTTGTTATGGAAAAGACTTTCTTTTGAAGCAATTGCTTTTTCACAATCACGACTCTTCTACAAGCTGATGGGTTCCAAGTGTTTGTAACAAGAAAAGGCATAGTTATCAGATTCAGCTTCAAGAGATGAGAAAGGAATTGGCATTGCGACTCTTGTTTTTGACAAATCACTCATTCTATACCCACTCTTCCAATGAATGAATGAACAAGAAAACAAGTCATGTGACCGATAACAACTTGGTTAATCATAGCAAACAACTCGTGATACGATTGAAACACAAGCCACATACTGTTCTTCGGAGACTATTCTAAAACCATTTTTTTACACAGTGGTTGGGTCATATTATCTTACTCTTTCATTTCTGTTCTTTCTCATCACCCATTTCCAAAAAGATTGTAGGAATATTGTCTTCCCAAAAACTTGAAGAAGCAACTACTGATTGCAACCAACTAATGAATTCCCCTAAAACATGTTATATGGAAGACTTTACTGTGTTTACGATATAAATATAAAAGTATATCAAAAAAGAATGTGAAAGAACAACTGCTTTCAACCGTCATTCATATTGTTCTTAGATGTTTCAAATAAAATGCATGATGGGATCTTTCATCACTCACATTCTATTCTTCCATTTAGATTATTATTTCTTGTGTGAGAAGGATATCAAGAATACACGTATTTCATCTTTTTATTTCCCTTTTCATGTCCATGCCTATTTCTTTCTTTGTAAAGTATTTGAAAGGATATTCTCATCTTGGTTGAGGAGATACTAGAAAGTCGTTATTGTTGCAAGTCATCTTTTGATTATACGAAAATTTTTTTACTATGAGTCTATTGTCTCTTCAAAGAATAATGCAACTCGAAAAGGAGAGAAATGTGGAATAAGCTCGAAGCAGCAACTGTTTGGAAAAGCAAAGGACATTCAAAGGAATATGAGAGAGAGTATCTTCTAAAAGAAACTTGTATGATTCCAAGTAGAAGACTCGAAATAAATAAGTTGTGAAGAAATATGAATCGATAGCATATACTTGAACAAGAAAGTCGAAACACTGTTGAATCAAAGGACATAGAATTGTAATCTTCAAATTGCTCCCATAATGAATGAAATATCTGTAAGGTAACTATGGAATACGAAGAGGCATTCAAAGGTTGATGACATAAAAATATTCTTTTTGGAAAGGAAACTTGAATTTTCTACTTTCCAATTCAATAAGCAATGACAAGAATTAATAAAGAGAGAAGATAAAAGCAGTAAAGTCTGTCAATGTCAACCAACAACAAGAACGCAACTGACAATATAAATAAATGGAAACAATTCTCAAACAGATCCTCTCGTCACCAATCTTCGGACATCAAAGATAAAGAAATACATATGTTCTTATTGAAAATTTTCTCTGGTTTCATTTTTTTGCAATCGTAAAATAGCTATAGCTGTTACAATCAAACTTTTGCTCTTCCTTTTGTTGTTCTAAAGCAATAAAGTTCTCATTGTTATGGTTACGTTTCCCGTAGATAGAGAATTTGAATAGCTTATCATAAAATATCGAATCACATTTCAATGAATCAATGCAAAGGGTTGAAAAACGATTCATTGGTTGATAAAAGGGGTATTTCAACTCTTTTATATATAGCTAGCATCAATATTCTGAATAGAACAGTAATTTTAGGATATAAAATCGCAACTGTCATGACACATATCCAACTGTGTGTCTTTATATTGGAGAGATATCGATAAAAACAGTCACAAACAAGCTATACAACAGCAAACTAGCTTCCACAATACAATGAAAATGCAACCATTCAAAATGAAGTAGACAAAACATTTGGACACAAGTCTTCTATGTATAGAAAAAGTATAAAAGTCTCAAGAGTTGATTGCAAAAGTCAAAGAAAACCACCTAAAGAAGCACATTAAGAATGGAGGCACAAGACTGACTCAACAAAAGTTACTCTCAAGTCAAGATACCGCAATGTAATAACTAACCAAGAAGCGAGTCACATTCAATACAATCAACTGGAGCTTTCTTACATATCACATACTCGAATATCAAAACAGCACAAGCTAAAAGGCAACTATCAAGGAAACATCAAAACCAATTAAGAGCACTAGTTGTACAAAACTACGGACTCGATAGGAGTACAAGTTGAAACTCCACAAATCTCACAATAAAGTTGCGGAACTCAGACTATAGACACAAAAGTTAAAAAACTTGGCACATGAAAAACGCCAAACTTGCAGGTACTTTTCATTCGAAAATGCACAATATCACTTTGTATAAATGACCCAGCAACCAAACTCCATGAAAAGTCGAAAAAAGTTCAAGAGACTGAATTATCAGACTTGAGCTAAAACCAATCACATTGTTAAGAGAAAAGCTGTTTCCTGTATTGACAGATACAGAGTTTCGCGTTGGCTAGTTGATCCTTTCGGTTATCATTTGTAACAAAGAGAATATCAGGAGTCTATCGAACGTCAGGGAAATATGGAAGACTATTAAAAGTCAAGTTTGCTTAGTACATGAGGAACTTTGAAGGGCAACGCAATCACCCCATAAGAACATTCTAGCAGTTGAACTTTGGTTTGCGTAGTCCTTTCTTGATTCAACTGCTATAACTGTTACAAAAAAGAGTAAAAACCAAAGATTATTTTCTCATAGTAGTGCCTCGCATCGACTGGTGTTTTACATTCACTGACATAGCAGATCGAAGGAGGAGGATTCCTTCAAATGATTGTGTTATTTTCTAACAACTTCAACTCCACCTTTTCTCGATTAAGGACGTTATAAAATCTCTCTAGTAAGGTTGTTCTTCAGATCCCGAGAAATTCTCAAAATTCTTATGTCTAAAAGATAACAAGACGTGTCAATCTCAACATTACTTTGCAGGTGTATTACAGTGTTTATACGTTTTGTTGTTCGCTCTTACTATCCACTTCCTTGACCAATCAAAGGTAATCTCTCTATTGTACATAAAAAAAATTATCGTCAAGCATAAAAACTAGTGTCGACTCATATTTGGACTCTTCTCACAATCTGTAAAGGTACGCTGTAGTAGTGGGAATCTACTTGCAAAGAATAATGAGTAATGTTTGAGCTCCAAAGAGGAAGCTGATCGTCAGGTAGACATCCACGCGTACTGAACAATTGTCTCGTTGAAAGAAGCAAACAAATGACAATTGAAAAGTAGTCTATGATTTCGGTTCAAGTCCCTGGGAGTTCTCTTCATGTATTGGAGAATTTTTCTGGTTCTTTCATGTATTCTGATGCTTGGAGAATGTCACCAAATAGGTTATTCCCATCCCAGTATTTATACAGTACAAGTTCCCAGAGGACCCGATATCCATGTGATATTTGGAAGTAAGGTGAAGGTAGATAACCGTACTTTNTACAAGGTCTTTTCCACAACCTTNGTTCCTCCAGTGAATATAACAGCAGATATTCCAGATTGTAGAGAATCTGGCTTTGAAGAAACTAGTTTGAAAGTAAATGATACTTTGCTGGATACAAGTTTTGTTCCCAGTTTGTGTCCTCTAGAAAATGTTTCGTTGACAGAAGGAAGAGTCTATGAGTCTGTTCAAGGAGGTCATCGTATTCAGTTTCAAGGATATTTGTAAGAAAGCTCGTTGGAACCCTTTTTGCAAGATGACGCTCCTGCTTCTTTCCTTACTCAGA